AATGAAGTATACCACGGTTTATATCGCATCAAGGTATTCCTAATACCAAAATATGAGCGAATTCGATTTTTCGGCTGTTGCCGGCGTATGGTCGATTTTTGCTGACATCCTCTCTTAAGAGGTAAACAGCTCAACCCAAAAATTAAGATTTATTTTGGGATAAGCATAGTCATTTGTAGAGTATATTATTTGTGGTGTCTCCCAACTGTTGGAAATTGTAAATACTGGAAAAGGTTAACCCTGGTAAAAAGTTTCTATAACTTGCATTGTTTAATGTAATGTTTTTATCAAACCATACAATTTTTTTTTTCACAGATTCAGCAGTGTTGCAAGAGAGGTTTTGGCTCAGAAAATTCCCTCAAAGGCATATGACTGTTTCATGCTGCTTTGTGATGCTGTTCAGATGTTGTATAGTGCCAAACTTCAAGGCAGTGGTTGGCAACCTGGGCATATCCAAAGACTAGAGAACCTACTTTGGAGTCATGCCATAAGAGCAGAGGAGTTTTATGGGCTTGAAGTATGCACTGAAAATTTGGAGTACTCGGTGCATGCTGTCCAGGACATTAGGCATCATTCAAGCATGGATAATTATTCATGTGAACTCTATGAACGTGCAATTCTCAGGCATAAGGAACAAAAGCACAATGCAAAAGGACTAGAAAAGACATTTGCCACAAGAGAAAACTTAAGGAATTTTATTGAAGGCTATCAAGAAGTGAATGGTCCAATCACAAAGTATGGTCTGGACAAAAGCAAGTACAGTTTTGATCTAGAGCAGGTAACAACTCCAATAATGTTACATGAGTCATCATTTCCTGTAGCAAAAGCATTGCTTCAGGATTTACACGACATGCCAAATCCTTCTCCTGCTGTTGAACATGCAATGAGGTATGGTGTATCAGTGGGATCTATAATGAATCATCAGTGGACACAGACCCCAGAGCTTATTCGAAGGAACTATGTAAGAGACAGCATACAACCAACCTGTAGAATTAGGAGAAAGGTTATCCTCTATCCAGATCCTTCAAATCTTGGGAATCCTCAATTTTACCTCTGCATTGACTTCAAAAAACCAGAGTTAGAGAAAGAGGTACAAGTCCCAGTCTATCCACAAGTTGAAGAAACTGTGTGTGTTTTAGGGGGATCAAATCAGACGTGGTATGGAAGAGTCAAAGATGTAAACCATACAGTTAGAGCAACAACACTGCAATGGTACAGAGAAACAAGAAGACAGGGTGTTTGGATTCTGACAAATCAAGAAGACAGAATATGGTTTTCATCAATCCTTAAAATATGCACAGCAGTAAGGGTTTTGGGGGGATTTAATATTACTTAGAAAACTTATTAGTAGAAGCTGCAGAAATATCTAATAAGCTCTTTAATAGTTTCCAATTTGGTCCATTCGTTTCAGAGATATGGCTCCTCAGTTTTTGCAAAACCTCTAATTTAAATTTCTAGTGCCAGAAATTTCTGCCTCATTCTGTCGTGTAATATGGTTGATGCAAGAAAAAGCAAGATAGATGCGTTGCTTACAGCAGTTCAAATCAATTAAGAATGTTTGCATGACGATCGTCCATTAAGCTATATCACTCACAATGGCTAGTTCCAGGCCCGGCTTTTTGCAACCAAAAAAAGCGCTATATCTCAGAAACGACTGGGCAAAAATGGAAACTGTAAAAGAGCTTATCGACTATTTATGCATCTTCTATACAGATGATGAAAAACTATGGATGGGTTATAGGCACCCTAATAAATTTTTTCTAATGAGTTTTCTAAGTGATTTAAAAAGATTTGCAGCATGTTTTATCAAGTATGAAAAATCCTCGGCATCCCCTCTGGCTTTACATGTATACTTGATAAAACACTGCTGCTCATTTTTTAAATAGTACACAAAAAGTCCACAATATGGTTGTGCCTCAAGCTTAGTCATTCCAATTAACTGGGCACTAATAATTTGTCAATAAAAAATAATAAGATGCTAACGTTTGGTATCCTATTGTTCTTTAGAATTTAATGAACATTAACAGCTGATGATTAGTGCCCAGGTTTATTGGAATGACTCTTTAGCAGATTAAACAAGAACACAAAAAATAAAATAAAATCACTTTTTATGGTTACTAAAAATAGATATTTCAAAGCCTTGTGGAATCAAAATACAGACAAACTTTGTAAAATAGGCTCCAGTTACAAGGAAAAGAAGATCAATATGAGACGAAAAACCACAGGAATACCAGGAATTAGAAACAATGAGACAGCAAAAACATTTATGCAGCATATTAGCATGTGTTCTAGGCTTGGCTTGTCCGCATTTCAATCCCATAATGCATCATCAAAACACCAGTGGAAAGTGCTATTGCTACCAAACTATGTAATCCTTGTTATAGCATTCACAACTGTTAATGCATCTTGAAGATTCCCCCTTTTCTTTGGATTGTTATGTGTGATTAACTGTCCGATCTTTAAAAGGTGAAGCCGTTCATTCTCAACTGCCAGTTTTCTCATGTTATCCAAACTCTTCATTGTAGTACAGAATACATATCCAAAAGAATAGGTGTCAGTCAATTCAGTCTGGGCTTTACCAAGTGAAATTTCTGGAGCTATATGTGGATATTTTTGTCTGTATTGGTGCCTTTCAGCCAAAGTCATGTCTCTCTTAGTTTCACATCCTAAAAAAATTAATACAGTGGGTTGAAGGATAAATTTTGAACACACTACATGATTGTATATATGCAGTTAAAAATAAACATTTGTTACTGGCTAATATAGGCATTATTTTTGGCAGCATTATACATACTATCAGAATTGTACATGCTATCAGTGTATGAGGAATAATGGGCTTTTTTGAATCACCATACTAATACCATATAAATTCTGATACAACATGGCCGCTCATGTTATAAACACTACTTACAGAATGTGTGCAAATGAGACAACAGGCATTAAATTCACCTTAAAGCCTCACTTGTATGATTATTGAAAACAATATCTCATTTGCATATATTTGTAATAACAGCTATTTTTTTAAAGAAAAGATCAGTTAATTAAATAGAAATGTGGTTATTGTTATTATTATATTTTGCATGCCATAGCTACAGTACCTTTAGACTTGGATGCTGTTGTAGCTTTTCCAAAGTCAATGAGAACAGGTCGTGTTTTCATTTCTCTTTCTTCAATGACAAAATTATTGCTTTTAATGTCATTATGTAGAATCCCTCTTTCATGTAGGTGACAAACTGCTGACATCATTTCAAACAGAATCGGAAGACATCGGAAGGTTTGTGGTTAAGGTTTTGTTGATTTCATGTTCTTTTAAATAGGCAGCATAGGTTTGCGGGTGATTGTTCATAGTGCACAATTTTGAAACCAGCATAAAAGGATATCCATCAGTACGTACACCTATAAGCATAGCAATATTGGGATGGCTAGGTATCTTGGTCATTATTTCTGCTTCTTTATGGATGCTTAAAAAGCTTTGCTTGCCTTTAAAGACTTTAATTGCAACTGGTAGACCTTTGTACTCTCCAGAATAGCATCTTCCAAATGTTCCTGTACCAATTATGTCCTTATTGAATGCAAGGTCTTCACAACAAATATTAAGGGAGGCAATTTTAAAAGGAGCAGTTTTTACCAATCCATTCTCAACAATTTTGGAAGTAACCTCTTTCCTTTTTGCAAAAGGATGACTTCGTTTGCGTGACTCATGACATTTCTGAGACATGCTAGGAATGGCAACTTCCTTTTGTGCTATTGAGCCATTTGTTTTTCCAGCTTCTTGAATGCCATAATAGTACCAGCATGAATGAACTCGCCTGCGTTTTATGCTGGGAAAAGCAAGTCTTATGGCATGGCCAAATTCTTGTAAGGAAACCAAAAATCCAGACTCAAGTACGAGTTCTCGTACTTTTGCTGCTGCCAATCTATGAAAAGGTTCACCCTCTTGAATTTGCTGTCGTAGCCTGGAAGGATAGAAAATGGAACCTTGTGTGAATAAATTGGTCTCCGATATAAATTTTATCTCGAGGATCACTTGAGCTTTTTCAGTAGTTCCATTAATTTAATGTTCCTAATAATTTTATCAAAAATGCGCTAATCTAGTTCTTCAACCCTCTATTAACTTTGTTTGAATAGCAACTTCAAAAAGTAATAATTTTAATTAAGCTTTAGCCTAAAATGGATGTCACAGTTATTAGATAAGCTTACCTTTCCACAATAATGTTTCGCCTTGCACGACGGAAAAACTGGTTTCTCAGCTTCGATTTCAAGATAGGGGCTTCCATATATAATAATCAACATCCAAGCCCTATATACCGCAGAAAAAGGGCAAAGGGGCATATACTATAATATATAGTAACCTGAAATGTCGGACCTACGCATTGAACTAGTACCAATATCCCGATCCAGGTCTCCTCGGCCATAAAAGCAAAGGCAACAGCAATTTATTTCAAATATGTCTTCGTCGTCGTTTACATACTATTTACAAACAAATTCCAAACTCAATCTGGGCCTCCTAAATGGCATCTACATACTATTTACAAACAAATTCCAAAGTCAATCTGGGCCTCCTAAATGGCATCTACATACTATTTACAAACAAATTCCAAAGTCAATCTGGGCCTCCCGCAAACGGTATTTACATACTATTTACAAGTAGCATTTACATGCTATTTACATACTATGGATATATCTATATCTTATTCTATGTGTACAAACTATTTACAAGATCAAATACTTTGTAAATCGCTTACATAGTATGTAAATAGTCTGTAAGGTTTATTTACATATTTTGTAAATTTGAATTCACAAATTATTTACATAATATGGAAGAAGGTCAACTTTTCCAGTGGTACTAGCTTAATAAATCCATAGCGAACAAAGTTTTTCAGTTGCTGTCTTCAAAACTTGATTTATTAAGTTGTTTTTAAGTCACTATGCAGTGGCCGTCTTTCATAACATCCTGTTGGTGTCACCTGTTGCATGACGGGAAACAATTTGATACGGTCATATACAATGCTAAAAATTGGTATTATTCAGTATGGCAAAGAATAGCAAAGAATAAACAGTAAGTGGACTGAGACGTCATCGCAATTGCATCAGTAACTTTGCCTGAACACCAATGAATCTAAATGTTATTACAGAATTATTGAATGTGTGATTGGTGCAACCAAGGCTTCAACTACGACCTCCCGCTGACAGACCGACGCTATTACCAACTGAGCTAACCGGGTGACGGTTATACGCGGATAAACTCGAAATATTTCCAAATCCAAGAATGTTTGAGTCCAAGACTTTTAATTTGATGAATAAAGAAGATGTTTTGGAAGATTAAATGAGGCTCCACAGGCAGTGATTTTATTCAAAATATGTTAGACAGTGTTCTAATAATAAAAAATAGTGCCGAGGTTTGCTCAGTATTATTACTGGAATGTCAGTTTGGAATGAAAAGGACCACTGCCCATTTAAGATACGGYTTGATGACCTGCTTTATAGACAAAATCTTTTCAGTTCACTACTTTCACACCTCGGAGCGTAGGAGTCAAGTTATATCTTCGTTGTACTTCATACGCGACAAAATTTTCTAAAAAGATAACTGAGTATTAGTAAGGTCTAACAGAAGTCTTCGTCATGGAAGTTGAAAAAGGAACAGCTAAGAGAGCAGGGATATGTGGTATCATCTTGATGATTTGTGGTGTCGCGAGCACGATTTCAGGATTCATTTGGATCTCAATTCATGGTTTCGGAGGCTTTGGCGTATGGTCTGGCATCGGTGTAAGTATGAACTCCACGAATGAGAATTGATTGACAGGTCGTTTTGGCGCACGTATAAAAGATAACTAGTTAGGGATTTATGTCTAACGAAAACAACTTACTAATTTTCTGTTAGGCTTAGGCTTTCATCCAAGATAATATTGAAAGAGGTCTCAGTATATTTTACTAACTTTCCTTTTTTTGCAGCTTGTGATTGCCGGGATTTTGGGCCTCCTCACCTGGTGGAAACGCCACAAAAGACTGGTGAGTGGAATTAACTGAATATGCTTGTGCGACAAATGGAATTAGCTGACAGAAGTCTTTGAATCTCATAAACTTCTTCAAATGGTGGTCAAACACCAACCAACATGTGCTGTCAGCCAAAAAATATGAAAAATTCATGCTGATGAGCGTCCCACAAGAGACAGGAAATAAAATCTATAATGAAATCAAGCGATATAAGTTTCGCACGATTACATAGTGTCAGCCATGTTG